CTAGTATAAAGTATTCATAACGTTATGATCATACCGTACTGGATTTTGGGGTTCAAACAAAATCAGCGCATATGAGGAGTCCTGCGTCAATTTTTTTTAAAACAGATGCGCCACGACGTAAATACTAGTTATTAACAACACAAGCTTTAAGGCGTCATGCTGGACAAAAGCCTGCGGATATCCTGAACATAATGGAATGAATTTATGGAATGTCGTTGTTTCCGCTCAATATTTAAGCAAGAGTTGTTAGGTAAATTAACTTTTTTATTTTTTTAGATAGATGTTTATTTTAATTACGAGGTAAATAAAAAAAACTTTATTTATAACCAAGTTCGTTTTAAATGGATTCGTAATGGGAGAGAATAGACGTGAACATATATATTCTCCAAGAAAAAATGTTGAAAACTTTTGAAGTTATCAGTTTTGGAGCCATTCAGTACTAAGCCCTCATCGTGTTAACATGGTTGATCATTGCATTACAACACTCGAAACTTTATCTAGAAATTTTTTACGTGATTTTATGGAGAGTTGTAAGTTTTACATAAAAAACTTCTGATTTAATTTTTTTTAATTATGTGACATTGTTAGCAGAATGTGAGTATGCAGGAAGGGTCGGGGTTAAGACATCGAAAAGACAAGTGAAGGATTTACATCGTGGAAACGTTACTGCATCGAGTAAACAAGGTACGTGGCTACATAGAATGTTTAGAGTTGTATGCAGGATTAGAGTACTTTAGACGATGTTGCAAGTTACACTTTTAGTAATTGCGGGAGATTGGGAAAGGCTATATATATATGTGTGTGTGACCACAAATTTATCAAGGAGACGTCATTTTGCTTCAAATATTTTTTACTTCTCAGTTTTATTTACCCCCAGTTTATAAGGGATCTTGTTTAACAATTTTTGGCAGGTATAGTTTATTATGTGTATATTTGGAATGCAAGTGATTTGATTTTAATTTGCATTTGTATTATAATCGTTTGATGAAATAAAAATTTTAGCCTAAATTGTCAAGTAACGAATAATTTTTGGTTAACATTTAAAATAGCAAAATTTTCAATTAAATTCTTTGGAGGCTAATTATTTAAAATTTTAAAATCATTTTCTCACTTATTAGGAAGGCAAACTCTTATAAAAATTAAAGAATATTTTATGCAATTGCAATAAAGTTTACCATATATCAACTTTTTACTTTGAAAATATATAATATTTCCTCTTTCAATTCTACTGCTAGATTTATTTTTGGGAATATCGATTCACCTCCTTCAAACTCACAAAAGAAGTATGTACAACTGTTATCAAAACCATTAGAATCGTGATGAAGATCTGTTAATGTAACATGATAAATGTATTGAACCTATAGAAATTAATAATAATATCGATTAAAATATTTATTACAAAAAAAATTATATATATAGAAATGTGAATAATATTCATCTGTTCTGGAAACATTTGAAGCCAACTTTTTTTACAACCCGTATGGGCTGAATTTCCATTTCCCAATTCATATTATTATTGAAAATGTCAATCAATAACTGCACATGTCACATCTAAATGTAAGTAAATCCATAACCTTTAGAATTACTCAATTGTAACCTTTAATTTTAATAATCATTTAATAATCATACAAATAATATAAATAATATAAGATATATATATAGTAATAAATGAATAAATAATGAAATATTTAATCAATTAATTTTATTTTTAATTCTTCAAGTTTTTTAATTGATTGATCGTGACCTTTTATAGCTGCCCTTTTATAATAATTTTTACCTTTTTCTCTATCTTGTGGTATATTCCATTTACCATTATAATAAAAATTACCTAAATTAAACAATGCAGGTAAATTTCCATTATTGGCGGCCTTTTCCAAGTAACTAATACATCCTTCAATTAACGATGGGTCATTGTCAGCCTCTGCTGCTATGAGAGTTGCATAGTGAAATTGTCCAATAGCAACATCATTATCTGCTGCCTCTTTAAATAATTCTTTTGCCTTTTTTGGATCTTTTTTAGCTCCACCAAGTCCTGTTGACAAATAATACCCTTTCCAATATTTTGCTGTAAAATCATTTAGAGTATCTGCGTGATATTCGAAGTATTTCCACGCTTTCTTTCTTGATTCATCAGTACGTTCCTTGTGAAGTTTTATGGCATCATCCAATGTCGATTTTTTAATCTCTTCATCGGTAATCCCAGAATCACTATCATAATTATAATAATAATCATCATCATCATCACTGCTACTGCTATCAGTTATATCCTCACAGTGTGGCTTTATTTTTGTAAAATAATTTTTTTTGTATAACTTTTCCAATCGTTTAAGAATATCTGGCATATTTAGACGTAATTCAGGTTTTTGATGCCAAGCTATTAAAAATGGTTTTGATCATTTAGTGAATTTTGATTTTTTAATTATCAGTGTTCTATATAACATACAATAAATTATAATAAATCATTACCTGTGGAAATTATATTTTTAAAACATTTCTGAATTTCATCTGACTCAAAATTTAAATATTCTCGGTGACCCTTCCTGATATGTTGGGAAATTTCTTCATAGTTGTTATTAAATCTTTTCAAATATGGAACTTGTTGAAATGCAAGCTCCCATAGAAGCATACCAAAACTATAAATTTCACATTTGATTGTATATCTGATATTTGCCATGGGATTGGAATTCAGTTTTTCAGGTGCCATCCAAGGCATGATCTTATTTAATGATGGAATTTTTTTGCTTATATCCATCTGCTTTCTACTTAGACGGAAATTTGTAATTTTTGGTGTTGTAAGCTCTGGTCCCATGATCAAGATATTTTCACATCTAACATCATGGTGGAAAATTTGGCATTCATGTATAAATTGAAGTCCAAGACATATATCATGCGCAATCTTAAGTTTTTCCTTCCAATTGATATCATATTTTTCGTATACTCCTTTTAAATTTCCAAACTCAGCCCAATCAAATACCAAAGCATCTTTACCATCAACATACGATACACCATAAAATGATATAACACTTTTTGAGTGTTGTAAATTACTTAGGATTGTCAAATATCCTTTGGATAGTTCTTTTTCCTTTTCATTCGTTAGAGCTTCAAATGGTTTACAAGCAACTGGTTGAACTTTATTAAGTAATTTTTTAAAAACTTTACCACGTAATGTATCCTCGCCTGGTGGTGGATCTGTCAATTTACAACTGTCCAAAACTTTATCTGGAAATTCACTTTTAAAATTAGGTTGATCCGATTTTTTGCTTAACTCTTCCATATTTTTGCTAATCCATGCAACCATTTCCATTACAAACTCCATGTTGCTTCCTAAATTGTCCACGTTGTTTCCGATGTTGTCCATATTTTTTTTCATTAATTCTAATGTCTATTAAAATAACCAATGATGAATTAGAATAAATTCATTTATTAAAAAAGAAGAATCATCATTGTCATTGCTGCGATTATTACCTGAGTTACATCATTAAATCCTTCTTCAACTAGCACATTTAAGTTTTCAACTGTTTCAAAATTCTCCAGATTGATATCCAGATTTAAATCATTAATGATTTCATCATATTTTTTTATTTGATCAATAATTTTGTCTTTATAATTTATTGACTTAATGTATTTATTTAAAAGGTGTAATTCTGAAAAATCAACAAGCAATTTTGTAAGAGTAGTTACTGCCTTGAGGTAACGTTGAAGGTTATCAATAGAATTTTCATCAGGAAATTTTTCTTTAATTTTTTTCTGATGTCTTTTCAGATAATTTAAACGATTTGCTCCTGCTTCTATTCTATCATATATTGCTGTAGAGAATTTTTTGAAGTACTTTACATTATTATAAGCTTTGTAAGCTGTAGTTACAAGATCTGTAATCTTTTCAATTATTGATATAACATCCATGCTTGAAACAAATGTGAAAAATGAAAAAACATTGGTATATAAATGCGTAAATATAGTAAGAAGTACAGGCAGGCTGTGAATATTCCTTACTAACTACTTTTGTATATCTATGAAAATTATTCCTTTATTCGTTTGATAAACTATTCCATACAGTCAAACCTCGCCACAGCGAATTCATGGTTCCAGCCAAAAAATTCGTTATGGCAAGAAATTCGCTGTGGCCAAGTTGGTGATGATCAGCAAATAATAATAATAATAATAAATAACGAGTATACAATATGAATAAATAGATAATACATTGGGGTTGGTCACAATGGTTGATCATCAAACATAGTTCAGGTCAATATAGAAAATTACTATGTGCGGATTTTTTA